AATAATAATAATAATAATAATAATAATAATAATAACAACAACAGCAATTTGTTGCGATGAAAGGTATCTCACGTGTATTGATATGAAATTAACACACATGCACATACACAATAAATTTAGAGAAGAATGTGTGGAAAAAAGGAGAAAAATACGACGCATATTAACTTTAATCGTAAACACGAAACGCGAAACACGAAATACTGACTGAGGCCAGTGCTGTGGGATATCACAGACTAAAATTTCTAAATTTTTTACTTAATACTTAAAACGTTAAAAAAACTGTATTGCAATGTTAAAAATGATGATCAATGAAAATAAGTTGCGAAATTCCTCTTTGCTAAACTACATGTCCGCCATTGGATTCAATTGAACGGACGAGAAATGCAAACAAAAGTACATCCCGTTCAATTAACAGAGAAAAATTTCCACAGTCTAAAACTAAATATCCCAATCATTATTGCACGTAGTATATTTACGTTTTGTTGACATTTCTAACGAATATTCTTAGTGATCAGAAAAAACTCTCTCTTCTCTGTACTTCAGGTTATTTAATCATTTTTTAAGGCCTATTATACAAACTTTGCAGTCTTCTTCTTTTTTTTTTACCGCGATAAGAGTTCATTGAAGGCCGCCTCAGATCATGTGTAACATAAAAATTGGATGTTTTGTTACTGCCATGAGGAAACGACAATCTTCAGAAATTCTGCTTCTTCTCGACAATTGAATCTTCCATTACGTGCAAATTTACTTTATCGTAAAATTTTCATTGTAAAAATTAAATTTGCACTAATCAAATGAAAAAATCAAACTATTATTGTTTATTGTTTATCGATTATGGACAAAATTTAACTTTGTAAGTAAACAAGTAAATCCGTTCATCTAATCGAGTATTATTTTTCTTTTCTCTTTCTCCTCCTTTAATTAGGCCCTACTGTGATACCTACTAGATCTTCTTTAACTTTTTCATTGTTTTGCAGTAAGAAGAAGATGGATAGACCATCTTTCTATCGGCTTGAAGACCAACATATAATTTGAAAATTTGAATGGAACTGCATGCAGTCCGTCTCTCTAAGACAGGAGAAAATGATTAAGATATAATGTTACGAAAATGAAAATCTGCCAGCATATCTTTCCAATCGTTATTACGTTTTGCGAAACGTGAAAAATGCATTTTTCGATATTGCATTAGAAAGAATGCAAGGCTTCGTTTGCGATTCTATGGCATTGTATATTTAATATGCTCGTTCAGTTGCATGAAGTTTTGAAGTTTACTTCACTCATATCTAATATTCGCATTTCTCTGGATTGGCTCACTGTGCCCTCATATATTACACGCGTGTATACATACGTCTGTATACATGAAATATGTATACATACGTACAACTGTCAATGTGGTTTCAAAAATATCGGACACGAATGCTTAAAAATATATAAACGAGCCAGAAATAATAATAATAAAAAAAAAAAAAAAAAAAAAAAAAAATATATATATACAAGAAAAAGAAAACCGAAAACAATAACAACAGAGAGAAACTAGATAAACAACTTTTTATAACAGCGGTTTTCAAGTTGCAAATGAGCAGATCCACATATTAATATGTATGCACATACATATAAAAATAATACAAATGCAGATATTTACATATGTATACATACGTAGTTGTTTGTGCATGACTTTTCATACAATCGGGTAACAACAGCAATAATTTATGCGGATAAGCTATAATATTATAAAGATATCTACACAGGAATCGATGTGTGCGTAAGCATACAAACACACAAACAATGGAAGGTCTCTACTTACCACAGACGTTATCGTGAGGCTCGGTGGTAGAGAAGCGGCGGCAGCAGCGACCGCGGCAGCAGAAACTGCAGCTGCTGACGCAACAGCCAAACTATCATCTGAACTACGTGCTCCATGTAAAACATGAAAATTTTCTGGAGAACACGTAGTTGTAGTAGATGGAGGTGGTGACGATGATGTGGTTGCGACAATATTGCCTTGCATTAGCGATAAAGGTTTTGTATTGCTGTTCAATGATTTTACAATAGACTTAGGCGATGAGAGCGAGGGGGGCGAGGTAGAGCTAATCATAGTCAACTCTAAGGCTTTAAGTTGGGAAGAATCTAATTGTTTAGAATCGTGTTGCTGTTGTTGTTGCTTACGTGTTTGATCGAGTTGTTCTTGACGTATGCCTTGAGCTGCTGCAGCGACGACAGCTTCAGCTGCCGCAGCCATCATCACCATGGGATGACGAGCTTGCAACCCCAGGGCCAGAAAATGATTATTAAACTGCTCGATATCACGACTAGAAAGTTTTCGTTCTTGTAACATATCACTATCGCCACTAAGACTCCCCCAACCAGCTGCCTCAATAGCAGTTGTAGATGATGTCTGTAGCGATAGTTCCCTGTCTGTTACATCGTTATGCTTAACGGGCTCAGCTTCATCGAAATCTGCCGATTCGCCATCTAATATAAAACGTATGGCATTGTAAGCGAACCACATTGGCTGATAGTTTAGCCCTTTTCGGCGCCCGTTGATCACCTTACCATGTTCACGATGAAATGAGGAACGAAGACTCTTAATTTTTGAGCGTATGGAACGTATTTCCGCGCCATATTTCTGGCCCAAGGCTTTAAGTGCCTCATATTTTGTTTGTTTGATATGGTAACCCTTTGTATTGGGATCCCAAAGTACACGTTGCCGTCGATAATCTTCAATAAAACCAAGTATTGTGGCACGTGACCATTCAACCCGATCGCCTCCTCCATTTGATTGGTTAGAGGAAGTTCTCAGGTCGTTTAGGCCTGCGTTTAATGAATTGTTGTTGTCAATATTAGTGTTATTGATATTGTTATTGCAGTTGTTGTTTTTGTAGACAATGGCAGTCGCAGCAGTACTCATATTGCTTTTTCTCCTCCTTCTGCTGTCAAAGTTTTGTAGCAGTGGTGGTGACAGCTTGAGGCAGTCGAATGGGAAGAAAGAAAGGAGTAGAGAGGATAATATAGGAATAATGGGAGCAGAAGGTGATTTACACGGATTGCCTTTTGTTCAAGCATAAGAAACAGGTTCTTTGTTATGTATACACATATACTGTATATGTTTTGTACTTTCCTGTCGATATGTGTTCATAAAGTGCGACCGAACTGTGCTTTCTGGCCAAATTTGTTCTTATCTCGACTGGTTTGCTTGACAAAGTTTTGTTGTCTTACCGATTATTATTTCTCTGTGATGGTACTGTTGTTTGTGGAGGGGGTAATTGATAATGATTATGGCGGTGTTTTTGGGGTTTTGCAGCAGCCGCAACTTGACTGATTAACAGGTTTGAGCGCGCACATACGTACCGTTCCGTCATTCACCGTTGAAATCACGATTTGTACTAATTTCGTATGTTTTTTTTAATACATCGCCACCGTTACAGCCGCAGCAGCAGAAGCAGTACGTAGCGTTTGCTGTTGTTGTGGCTGTGGCCTTAGTATGTGTGGCATGCTCCAACGTCATTGCCATTCATACAACCAAGCAAACAAATAAACGAACGAACGTATTGTACGAGCAGTTAGTAAACTAGCCAGCCGCTATTGTCTCCACTATTGCTTTTGTCGCCTTCTCCTAGCGTATCAACTGACAGCTTTTGCTTTTTGTTGTTGTTGTTATTGTTTTTTTTTGTTTTTTTTAAATATATTTTTTTGCTTGCCTTATTCAAAATGTATATATATTTCAATTGTTTATGGCTCGCTGGTGTTGATAGTAATGTTGATGGTAGTGCTACTGCCTCTACAACCAGTGTTATTATTATTTTAGTATCGTTTTTGTTAAAGTTAGTTTTCGTATTTTGCTTACTTGTTTATTTTGCTTTTCTTTTTTGCTTTTTTCCTTTTTTTTTTGTTTTTTTATTTTTTTTGCTTGTCATATCATACCTTTCTGCCTTAGCACACTAACCATGGTTTTCAACGACAGCAGCAATAACAATAACAACGGCAACAATAATAAATGTGCTGGCATCGTCAGCCATCTATCGTTAGTGATCGTTGCCGTTAATATTGTTGTTGTCGTCGTTGTCAAACCACAAAACTTTTAGCAACTCGTCATTCTCTTTCTTTGTTGATAATGTTGTTGTTCTTGTTGTCAATATTATTGCTGGTAATTTGTACTCTTCATTCGAGCTGAATTGGGCCTGAGTGTATTATTTTCTTCACCGACCTCACATATCGTTAGTTAATCATAATTTATTTGTAGTTGTATATGTTCTCTATATGTTTACTGCAGATTTGAAGTGAAGTAAGCTTCAGAAATTTGAATGTGAGCGAGCAGCCAAACAACGAAAACACATTAAGAAAATACGATGGTGGTACCGTCAATATCAGTGCACAACAACGTGGCGTCGTAGCACGAAGAAATTAAAAAAGAAAATAAACGCAAGGTTGCTGTTTATGTAGCATAAACGCATATACAAATGCAAAATAACGTTCACATAAAAAAACGCACACAATCACGCTACTATCAATCTAACTGTCATTTACCACATTATTCTTACATACATCCATGCATGCATACGCACATGTTTCGTAGGGCCATTAGTTGGCAGTGCGCTATCACTATGTCCATACATATATCGCATACATGCATAAACATATGTACACATACGCTTACACGTATATATATATATATGCATATACGTATCTGTATGCAGTCATGCAGACGCGTATTTATATATTATATATGAACATATTAACTGACTCAATGTCAATGATTAGCAAAAATGTGGCAACATTTTTCAATAAAAATTACGTACGCATATGTAGCTTCATCTGTTTCGTAAATCTGGAAAGAAAGTTTTATTTAGGATCTGCAAGCGCTTTATATATTAAAGACAATATGGAAGTAACTGCACTTTTCTAGGTTTTACATGGTAGTGTACAAAATTTGTATGTGCAGATGTTACGTGCAAATTATGCGCGAATTTTATGGTCGCATTTTCGATCCAAGTTTAATGAAAATTCTTTTTCAGTATTGACAATTATTTTACGTGCGTAACGTTACTACTTTACGCTATGCTTACTTGGGAAGGCAAGATGGCTGGCGGAGAGGTTTATAAGCGATGCGGATCAAGTATAGCTATGGCCTGAACGTGAATGAAGTGATATAAGATTCATAAAGCAAGTTGAAGAGGTTCCCGAACAAGTACGTAAGTAGCTGTAATTAGCGCTAATAGTAGTAATAATGGATAACAAGAATACACATAGACCTAACCCATAAAAACAAGTTATAAGAAAGTCAGAATTTTGAGGACGTATATAGCAAATAAGATAATCGAAAGCACGCCTCTAAAGACCACTATACTATCATTTCGTCGTTTTTTAACAAATAAAAGAAAAGCCATAAGAAACGGCGAAGAGAAATAAAATACGAAGAAAAAATGTAGTCTGAATATTTGGGATGCGTGATACATAAAAAAATCCACTTATCCACTATGGACTTTTAACGGTCCTATATGCTTTAATTGATTTTTGAGCTTGGCATGGGTATTTTTTAAGGGAACACTAAAGGTTTTATTCAATGTCTTAAAAAGAAGCTCGAGAATTTTGATATTCAATAAGAAATTTTTAGTTATCTAATGATGAGGGAGCTTACGTAAGAATTTCGCCAACTTTTTAAGGTTAAAAACAAAGTTTTCGGAATCGTAAGCCTAAGCGGAAAGGTGCAAGGCATCGGTACATACCATGTGCATACACTTTGCACGATGCGTATTTTAAGGCATTTACCAAATATGGCGCATTTCTTACATAATGTTTCGGATCTCTTCAATCTAAACCTTAATTACTTCAATTCAGTTTACAAGAGATTGTAAAAAATCCCAATAAACAAACTATAAGCGAACAGCTTTTCTTATGAAATTCTATATTTGCTATAGAAGCAATTTCTTATCAATTTCTTTTTATGAAGAAGCAGCATTCAAAGACAAGTAATCTGCTGAGATTACTCACAAAGAAATGAATCATATTTCCCACGATTGGCACTTTCCGAACAGTGAATTGGGCTCGTGGGCTCGTTCGCAGCCAAGTCGCGTGCACTTTCGCAAAAAAAGTGAATCCATGTCTTATAAAAACCGCTAACGACTTGTCTGTCCACATGTATTTCTCGTTTTTGATCAGACACTGGGATCGATGGGATTGTTTTGGCATTTTATGTTTCAAATCAACCAATTCAAATTGAAAGCAGTCGGAGATACTAGCTGTACAAATCGACAAATATATGGGTTTCAATTATGCTTGTGAATGTGTAAGTGCGCTTTTCTAGTTGAAAATACTACCTACGGTAGTCTAAGTTTTCTTGTTGAAATTAATCTAAAAAGCCCTTTTTTTTGACTTTCGAATGCGTTCAGTGCGAGCCATGCTACCTCTCCTGCTTAATGCGAAATGCAGTGTTGCTTGGCCGTGACAGGCGGCAAGCAAAGGTCGTTTTATAAGCCCATTAAGATTGACAGAGGTTTGTAGAGCATATTACATTATAGTTTTGAAGTTGGCCAGATATTGCGAAGAAGGCAGACTTGGGCTAAGTGAGTAGTGAATTTAAACTAAGCAAATTTGAAAAATTATTTTTCCAGAATTAAGTTCGTCCTTTTATCCTTTATCTCCATGCTGCATTTAATTACTATTTATTGGTTTTCGAAAAAATCCATTATCCCGATCGATATACAGGTTGGTTCGAGCATCCTCCTATACCGGTAGGTTTATTAGGTTTACAACTTACGATGGAATTAATTTTCATCTTGCAAAATTTGCTCGGAGGGGTGATTGTACAGTGTCCGTCAACATGTCTATTTACATGTAATATTTGGGGTTGTGTGAGTTATATTGGCATCCGATCATTGTTAACAATTAGGATTTGCGTTCTCGACGCGAACTTTCAATCGGACAGAGGTTACTCTTGGAGTGCAATAGGCAATCCATGCGTGGCAAATCCGGGAAGGTCCCACTGCAGCCGTACAAGCAGCGTATTAAACCTAATCCTTATCTCAATCCGATTAATTAGTTGGGCGTAGCTTCAGTTGCTTACTACATTTTATTTAAAGTAATGTATTACAGGTGTCTCTACGTTTAACGCAGGCGACTTTTTTATATGTTTATTTGAAATATGTAAGTAGTAACGTGACATTCTGCCTATTGGTTTAAAATACTAGTTTTACAGTTTATATGCGTAAACAAGAACATTTCCTTGCCTGAAACACACACTGGATGCGGTACTATTTGTTGATAAGGGTAGAATTTATACATGCGTTCCACATTCCATTTCATAGTTGTACGTAAATAATCCTGCCTTGGTGTATAAATACCCCATCGAGATGGTATATTACGCAAGGATAGAAATGTACTGATCTGCTTATCTATATATATATATATATATATTGGTACGACTTATGATTTACATATCTGTATTATATATGAAACTCAAAACACGTTATCCGTAATGGACTTTATTAAGACAAAAGTAAACGAAGGCGCAGAGCGGCGAAAAATTGCAAACTGAACGGATGATGGAGTTTCAAATTCGGTTTGAATCGTTTATAATAAAGAAACAGGTTTTTTTTTTTTATAAGGTGCAGTTAGCAGTACAAAAATATGCGTGCGGATGTGTATAGGTGTAGTGTGTTACCGGAGTCGTTTTTATTTGTATTGGTCATGATCTGTGGCAGTTGCCTAGTGTTGCTTTTTTCTTTTGGCTATAATTTAAAATTGTCTTTAGATTTCACTGTTAAGCAAGATGATGCCTTTTAAGATCTTTACGTGTCATCTTTGTATGTCTGCGTATGTTTCTACGTATTTATGTTTTCTTTTATTATATTTGTTTTTGTGCGGATAGTAAGAGTTTTTGATGTTACATATACCTATCTGACCGTGTACTCCTTTGCCTTTTTGTTTCCCTCTGCGGTTATGTTGCTCTCTGTGCAATTAAGTCTTATTTATGGCTGCTCTTGACGATAATCGTGATGATAGTAATTTAGTCGAGTATCTAAACGCTGTGTAATAGTTTATTTTTCATTTGTTCTTCTTAATATCCGCAGCGTATGTTAAGTTTGTCAGCACGTTCGCCAAGTCAAGTATTGTCTTTTCATAAATTCTCATAAAACTTCTTGAATAGAAGGGAAATGTACATTTAATTCGAAATGGAACTGTGAAGTTTCACGATGGATAGATTAACTTGGCCTTTACGATTACCCTTTAGCGCTGTCAAATTAGCAGTTTTATCAGATAATGAATGTTGTAACTGGAAGAGCTCTTAGCACATTACTAGCTCTTAGCTCTATTAACGACATCCGTCAATTGTTGACGGGTTTGTGAATTCAAGCTCAAAAATTCTGCCTAAGGAAGTAGATATCTTCTGATGTCATACATCGGTTTTTAATGATTTAATGGATCACGTAGATATATCAAGTCGTTTTTCCCGCGAACCGCCTACTTTCCTCTATTTCTAGATGCGATATTCTTGTTTTACTGAAACTCGTCAGCTTGAGGGCTAAATTTTGTAAATTGTCATAGTCGCAAAAATAACGATAGGAAGCTAAAATTAAGTATACATACATTCCCTGATCGATTCAGAATATACTTTTCAAAAATGGACATGATCTATTCACCTACACGCTCGCAATGTACAAAAAGAAACTAAAAAAAGTTCGAAAAATCTCGACAATTTTTTCACATTTTTTATCTATATAGCATCAAATCTATATAGCATCTAGACAGCATATGTTAAAAAGATTCGCGTGTGCACGACAATCCGCGAGTGCAAAGGGGAAACTCGATGGGAAGGA